TCAGGGCTAGGGGAGAGTTTGGATTCTGAAGTCTCTGCTGATAGCTGAGAGTAGTGGAGTCTCTTAGCATGTGATATCTTGTGTAGTATACAGTTGTTTAACATCTAATGAATGAAGAGAGGGAGAGTGTATTGAATATCCAGTAGAACATACATGTATAATAAAATCTATGACACATGGTTTGTTTATGATTTGACTATTTCAGGGTAAAGCAGCTAAATTTCTGTCACTGCTTGAGAAAATTTGTTACTTATGGTCATAAAAAGTTGGAGCTGCAAAATTTGACTCTTTTAGAGCTTAAAAAGCTGGCAAAAGGGCCATTAATACAGGGTGTCACAGTGGCATAGCCAGGATTTTTGAAAAGAGGGGGCAAGCTGTGCGGCGCGCAAAGTGTGCCATGAAATTTTGCGAAATCACGCCCTTTTGGGGCGTGACCACACCTATTTTTCAACATGGCGGACTTCTTGACCGATCATAGGCAATGTTGAATACCTTTTCAGCTTCATAATGGCATCATAGAAAGACTGCTTTGGTCTTTTCCTTTCATATGTAAGTTGTAGAACAGCTTTTCCTTCCAAAAGCAGCTTATTATTTGATTAATTTTAAATTTTGATTTAAAAAAAGGGGGGGGGCAATGGCCTCCCTTGCCCTCCTGGCTACGCCCGTGTCAGGGTCTTGAGCCAAATTTTGCCAAAATTGAAAAGGAGAAAATTCTCCATTTTAATATTTTTTCTGACACACATACACGTATGTGCAGTTTATTCCGATTAAAATTAGATTTTTTATAAATTATCTAATTTTAATCGGAATAAACTGCACATACATGCATTAATTCAAAATCAAAAGCTAAACTGTGCTATACTATATTCAGTTAATATCAAAAGCATAATAGTAATGATGCTAAAGAACAACGATAAACAAAATAAAAAGCAAAATGATAAACAAAATGATACACAAGGATATTATTATAATAATGCTTTACCTGTAATTTCTGATGTAAGAGACAACAAGACATGTCAGGATGACTCTTCCCTAAACTGAGACAGTTCATGTACATAATGTAAACTGATAGTTAATTATAGTTACCTTGGTAACGCTATACCATTCTCCCACCTGTAGCGCAGTTCCTGTATCACTTCATATACCAAATATGAGCCATTGCTTTAAGACCTAGAGACACAGAATACAATATGACCTTTGATAGTGTGTGTACATATGTAGTGGAATGTACATGTACATGAATATTGAATGTACATTGTGTATGTCACAGTAAGTTTATACATACCATAATCATTATGAATGTTACAGAA